AAGGCCCGCGCAGCCCCCCCCGCGCCCGCCCCGGGACGGCTCCACAGCCCCGGCCTGGCTCCTCCGCCCGCCCTGAGGTGCTCGTTCTCTCAGGTACTCGCTCTCTCACCCGCCCTCAGGTGCTCGCTCTCCCGGCCGCCCCTCGAGGGGCATCTCCCCGCTCGTGAGGGCCCCTCAGCAGGCCCAGGTGTGCGGGGCCGCGGGGCGGGCCCCGGAGCTCAGGCCCTTGCACTAAACTTCATCTTTCCCGCCGACTTCTGAGGTGGGAAGAGGGAGAAGGTGCAAATTTTCTTCTCCCTTTCTTGCCCCTCCCAGACAGAGGAGAAAAGGCAAGTGGTGGGGAAAGGATCAAGGTGCTGTTCTGTCTCCTTGTTCACCGTCAGCGCTGACAGACATATCTTCTGATGATTAAAAATTTATCAGACTGACCTCTCAACCAAGCCTGGTCGGCCTCCCGGCTCCACATCCTGGTCCATCAGAGGGGTAGGGAATTCTGATGAGGTTACGTGGCTGTTTTATGGCCCATGTTATGTGGTTGTAGACTAAGAACCTCTGTAGTGTTTCTTCACGTGGCTTTGCTCCTCAGTTAACCCATCAGTGACAAAATGCTGTCCTTTTCACAGGACCTAGGCTTACTGGTGTCTGTCACTTGGAAAGCTGCCCCCAAGGAAAAAAACAACCTGCATTCCACAGCCCCTCACATTGCTGATTTTCTGTTTTACAGGCACTAGCCACATTACGTGTGTGATGCTGCTTGGCGAAGATAAAAATCCAGAAAATGTCACCTCAGGAGCTTGCTGCACTGCTCTGTGAAGAAGGGGACCACCATCTCACCCAGCAGGAGTTACCAGTAGCCACTGCCTTCTACACGGCTGCCTTCAGCTGCAGTGCCTCCACAGCAGTACAGAAAGTGAACTCCTTAGACAAGGGGCTCTGGGAGAAAGTTATAGCCACCCTGGAGATGTGGTGCAAAGGCAAGGATGAGATTCCCAAGATTCAGAGCAAGAACTTGGCAGTTGTCTCCCTCAGTGTGGGAATAGCTGCCATCTTTCTCTCCAGCCTAAGTCCCGACAGTATCGTATCCTCAGTCTATAAAATGGAGACACTGCTCGGGCGAGGAGGCTCAGAGGAGGTGGTGAGTAGATGCAATTCCCTGCTCAAGGCTAACCCGAAGCATTCCATGGAACTGCTGCTGCTGAGGGCACTGGCTTGGGTGCTGTTGGGGACAGAAGTTAGGAAGGGAGTTGCAGACTATATCCAAGCCTTTGTGATGCATCGGGCTGAGGCAGTGGCCTACGTGTGTACCAGGCAAAGGGAACACCTACCACGGATCATCCAGGCCTTCTCTAATTATCTCTCAACGTGTCAAAATGAAAGCCCAGATGGCAGTTCCTTGGACCAGTGGCTGGGCAACTGCTATGACTTCCTGTCAGCAGTAGCCCCAGGTGATATCTGGGTTTCCAGGGTGCAGGCAGCTTACCTCTTCAAGAAAAGCAAATTTGAGGAGTGTGTGGCAGTTTGTAGCAAGGCTCTGAAGGGCTTCTCAGCTGATAATAATCTCAGAGATGGGAAAGCCTTGGGTGTGCTTTTGGAACGGGCTGCTGCATACTTCTTTTTGGGTGGACGGATGCAGGAAATGATGCAGGATTTAGCAGAAGCCTTTGCAGCAAGCCCTGCCCAGGCACTGAAACACTTCAAAGAGCTTTTTTCACCACATGACACTGAGAAGATAGAAGAACATGCTAGAACTGTCCTGGAGGTGAAGTTTGCAGCATACAGGGAGGCTGTGCGCGCTCGGACTGAGCTGAGAGGCAGTCGTGGTACTGAGCTGCTCCCTTCTGTTATCCAGACAGTCCAGTTCCTCCTTCAGATCTGCCCAGGGTCCAAACGTGAGCTGAGTGTTCGGCTAGCAGACTGTCACCTCTTGCATGGGCAGATCAGAACTGCCCTGGATATCTGTGACCACCTCTTGTCAGCAGAGCAGAAAACCTACTACAACACTCTCTTAGCATTGCGAGGATTCTGCTGCCTTCACACTCATCACCATCAGCAAGCCCTGCAGGACTTTCAAAAGGTCATTGAGCACGATTCCCCACATCCTAACAGCTGCATTAAAGCCTTATGTGGCCGTGGACTGATCCGGATTTCTGGTGGCAGCCATTACTTGACAGCCCTGGATTATATCACAGCTTGCCAGTTAAAGCTGGAAGAAACCATCTTCACAATCAAGTCCTACGTGCCGTGGAACCAAAGAGGACTGCTGCTGAAGGTTCTCCAAGAAGAAGGACAGAAGATGCTCCAGAAGAAGAGGTAGCCAGGAGGCAGTTCAGCCTGTGGGCAGAAAAAGAAACAGAGCTGTGAAGTTTCCTAGCAGAAAGAGAACTGCTTGGGAAGTAGAGAGGGTACTTGCTTCAGAGAATAGGATATAGGCCCTTTCAAATTTCCTAATTAACAAGTTGAAATAAAACTGCCCAAGTGCAGCTATTGCAGCAAAATATTGCTTTGCTGCCTTGTCAGAATGGGATAGGATCTTGTTAGCCAAATTAGCTCAGTCTTTCTGTGGAAGTTAATCCATGACATACCAGTGGGGCTAAGCTGGGAGTGGGCAAAATGCTAGAGGGAATATGACAGGTTTCTCCGAAGGAGTGGATGCACCCACCATAAAACAGGTTCATTGGTGCTACCTGGCTCCTTCCACTCTCAGCTCAGAATGGAAGGATCTGGTGAGCCATGAAGTGCTAAGTGTCCTTCCAAGCCAGAGCTGAAGTACTACTATGCACATACTTGGTGCTGGCAACCCAATTTCTTATTCCAGTGCTAACTGTATTGATGTCATATTTAAGGCTGGGAGATCTGGGGCAGGAACACCAAACTGTTCCAGCTAAATCCATTAAAACATGAGTTTGAAGGTAGAACAAGGTATAACAGAGGGACTCTGAGGTTTTAATAATTTAATGTATCATCCATTTTGATAGCCTCTTGCTTAGCTTCCAGGTGAGACAGAGAGGCTCTATTACTCTCATTAGCATTTTCTTCTTGTCTTTCCTTTTTTCTTCCTGTTTTTTTCTTTCTTTCCCCTCCAGAGATGCCCCTGGGGTTTACCAGCTGGCTTCTCTCTTGGTGGAGCTGGACACTTCTGATGAAGCATCACGGATCCTTTGTGCTGATGCCCTGTACCAGATGGGCTGTGTTGAAGAAGCCCACAAGCTCCTCTTAGTAGCACTCTCCAGAAATCCACAAAGGTCTCCCATCCTGGCTAGACTGGCACTTCTGCAGCTGAAGAAAGGTTTCATGTATGATGGCAACCAGGTAAGGAGCACCTGGCTAGCAGAAAGAATGAGAGTCATCAGTGGTGGTGTGGTGAAGAGGGTTAACAACCCTTTTAGCTGGTTCAGAAGATGGTAGAGCTCGATGGTAGAACTAAAGAGGGATCACTTTATAGATGAAGACATGACAGTGTCCTCAAAAGGCTTTCAGTTTCCTAGCACAGCTTGTCTCCTGCTCCTTAGTGTTACAGGACAACTCTGGATACAAACTGCACGGTGAGGCCACCTCATTACATGGTGCAAAGCTGGAACCCACCCCATCACACAACCTATGATGAGCTTTCCAGTCAGGCTGCACATACTCCAAATATTTCTCAGGAATGGTGGCAAATGAGCAAATCCAGGCCTCATCAGCAGGACTCTGCCTGTAGCACAGACACACCACGACTCCCAGCTAAAGAGCCCATTCATCACGTGCTATTTACTGACAGTTTTCATCAGCGACTTTAACTAGGCAGAACATGGCTGAGCATCCTGCCCCTGGTGACAATATTGATGGGATTGGTACATTTATTTCCCCTAGAGAAAGAAGGGAGAACTACTATCTAACTGATTATCCTAATGAAGCATTAGAGCAGAGGAAGAAACAAAACCAGAAGCTCAAATGCCAGTCTGCAGTTTTCTTTCTGGTGCTTTTCTGACTTCTGCTTGGAACCATGAAAGATTCCAACAAGTCGATTCTCCTACCGAGCTCACAAAGCTGAATTACCAGGTTCTGCCATCAGAGGGAACTATTGCATTTTTTAAAAATCCCATAAAATTACACTAGCCATAAAGAGAAAAGTTTCATTGTCACCACTTTGCTACTCCCTATGAAAAATAAAGGTTTTGTATAATTTGCTGCCTTTGGGAAAGCTACTAATGACTGACATGACTTTATTAGGGTTCATATGTTGCCCTGGAAGTTGCATTCCTCTCTGCAGCTTCCCTTCAAATTCCAGATGGAACATACACGTCACCAGAAATTTCTCTTCTAAATGTTTTTGTCCCACCTGCCTCTCAGCACCCAGATACTTGTACCTATTAATAAAATATAGAAAAATAATCACTTCAATGGATGTGTCTGGTGTATCAAGATAACTTTGTTCTTGTCCTGGCTCCTCTGGCTCAGATTTGAATGTTAAGTACCCGGAATGTTGAGTCACTGGAATCCTGTCCCACAGAAACTCTTTCTTAGGGGCCATGATCCCATTCAGCTGTATTTATAAAACCAGTTAGCTGCCAGTCTGGAACAGAGGCTTCCCAAAAGCAAAGCAGCATTCTTCATTTCCCCAGAATTATTTCAATAGCTGCAGGGGCAGTAAGGAAAGATAAGAAGGAATGTTTTCTCCAACATGCATTTACACTAGGGCCAGCTGAAGAGTTTAGTAAGAGAGACTCAAGGTTCTTGGCTGGACCACAGCTGGCTGATGTCCCAGGGAACCATGAGGAGGCACTGGGGAAGAGCACACTTGTCTCACCAGACAGTCATATATTTCCAGCTTTAGCATGACTTCAGGTGCCTTTCATGCTAATCTTTCTCTTCTGCCTTTTTCTCTCACATTATTAAGCTGCTAAAGAAAGTGATCAGAATTGGAGATTCCTCCTGCCTCCTGCCAATCATGGACATTTTCAAAGATGAAGACAGGAAGCTGATGCAAACTCACTGCCATTTCAGAGCACTGACCATCCTGAGGGACAAGCAGGATGAGGCTGACATCAAGGAGGCCATTGCCTACCTCTCCTTTGCCATCATTGCTGCAGGTAGGTTAGACAGATTTACTTCGGTGAGAAATCAGATCAGTAGGTAGACAAGCATGTCCCTCCAATTCTCATCTGTCATTTTCTCAATGAGGAGGCTGAAACAGTCAATTGACAAAGGCAGGTGAAGAGCAGGATAAAATCTGTTTGAATTAACAACTCATCTCAACCATGAAACAAACAGCAACCAACCTGCCTTCTTGGTCCAACACACAAATGATTGTGTGGTTCCAGTGCAAAAGAGGGAATGCACCCGCTTACATCATTCCTAGCTTTCCTAAGGAGGGAGATCAGGTTAGCATGGAAATGCTTCTGGCATGTTCCATGTAGAACCATGGAAACCTGCCTTTCACTCTGAGCAAATATTGTAATAGAATCACAGGCTAGTTTGGGTTGGAAGGGACCTTAAAGATTACCTAAATCCAACCCCCTGCATGGGCAGGGACACCTCCCACTAGACCAGGTTGCTCCAAGCCCCATCCAACCTAGCCTTGAGCAATTCCAGTGAGGGAGCATCCACAACTTCCCTGGGCAAGGTGTGCCAGTGTCTCACCACCCTCACAGTGAAGAATTTCCTCCTAATGAATAAGGGAAAGGAAGGGCAAGAGAGGGAAACAAATTGGCTCAGTTACACCCATTTCACAGGTGCAGATGCACATAAAAACATGGAAACATTGAGACTCACCACAGTAGCCATTGGCCTTTTGAATCATGGTACTGCTCTCTCCTCCAGGTGGTTATGCTGAAGATTGTCTTCTGATCAGGGCAGGATGTTATGGGCGCCTCGGTCAGAAGAAAACAGCTATTTTTGATTTTAATGCCATCCTAAAGGAGGACCCCAGGAACGTGCAGGCTCTGAGTGGACGAGGATTCATCTACCTTGCCCTGAAGCAGCAGAAGGTATCACATCACTTTACTGATTTGCTGGCGATTTACATGACTGGTTTGCTTTCCCAAGTCTAGAGAGAGGAAGACTAAACCTTGATCAGTGATCTTGTTCACTGTCACTACCACACATTGTGCAGCTGACCTGTGGGATAGCAGAGAACAGAAAGCACCTGAAAGAACACACTATCAGTACGTAGTTCTTGCTGCCATTTCATCTTTTGGCCTTGTTTTTACACAGGAGGCAGTGCAAGATTTGATCTCAGCACTGAAGGTGGAGGCAGGAGTAGTGATTCCAGCAATCCTGTCTTTAAAGCATGAAGCCCAAGGCCTGGTCACTCAGTGGCTTCTGCAGCATGGCAGGACGGCATTAACTGAGCTTCTTGCTACTAAAGACCTCCCAAAACAAGAAACCCTCAGAGAGCTTCTCCTGGTTGCAAAAGCATTAATTAAAATTTGCAAGGATTCCCAATATCACATCTTCTACACGGATGTTTTGATTGCAAAGGGTAAGTCCCTGTTCTCTCACATAGCTGATCAGACCACATGAATGGGCAATAAATTAAAAGAAAATGCATGTTAAATGGCAAGCATATAGTACTTGTCAAGAGGAGTCTGCAAATGTTTTGGGAAAGGGTATGAAGTAGTTAATACCCTCAGAGGTGGACTGTGGACAGGCTACCTCAATTCTCCTTTATCTTTCTCCACATGGAATGGGTGATAAAGCTTGTTCTGGTGTTACCAACAGGAAGGTATGAAGAGGCCCGTGACCACCTCCGGGAGGCATTTCGCCACTGTCCTGCTGATGACTTTGCCACTGCCAGACTGGCTGTGCTGCAGCTGAAGAAGAGGAACATGCCAGTGGCAGCTCACTCCTTCAGCATCCTAGCCAAGAGAGATGAAAGGGAGTTGGGGTTCCTCCTGAACTTCATAGATGCTAAGCAACAGCAGCATCTCGCTCAGGTATGGTCCCTTTTTTGGTGCCACTGCTGTGGATTCAGGGGGGAAAGAAATGGAATTTATCAGATGAACGAGGAACAAATTGGCTTCTTCCTCCAGCCTTTCCTCCAGCAAGATCAGGGAGTTGGACCAAACTTCTTTCACTGCAGTGACTTTGCTTCAATCTCTAATAATTCATCATTACCACTTCTTACCACTTGAGTGAATTTCTTGTTGGGCTTCCTAGCATGAGACCTGTTTAATCCCAACACTGAAATGCAGGGGATGTGAGGGCCAGCAGGCAGAGGTTCACAAAATTGTTGCTATTCCTGTGCCCTGTGTGAGCTGCATGGTGCTCATAGCTGCTTCTGGGGAAGGGGAATTCATGGTTTGTTCATTTTCTTCATGAAAAGAATCTGAGAGTTCTGATTCAGTCACATTAAATGCTTCAATCCTTTCTTGCTCTTCTGTGTAACATTTAGAAATCTAAATATATTCACATTTTTATAAAAGCTGTTGGGATTGGTTTTCTTTGCTAAAATTATTTGACACAGAAATGGCACATTGCTCTAGTCCACCCCAGTATGTATTTTTCTGTATTTGTTTTTTGTTTTTTTTTAATTTCTCCCCCAAAGTACATTCAGCTCTGAGGAAGCACCTCCAATAGACAGGACAAGGTCAGATGGATGGGGAGGAGTTTTTAACATTCACTCAGGCATCTGCAATTCTGATTGCCCAGAAGCTCTGTGCTCTGAGAATCAGTTTGCCTCCTTTTATTCAGTTTGTAGATGGTGTGCACCCTGGTGAGAAGCTATATTGTTATGCTTTCTCCCAGGTTATAAAACAAACAACATGCTTACATACTTAATGCATCTTGAGAAAAGTACTTTGTATGGATTTTAGCAAAATAGCAGGAGGATCTAAGTAAACAAGTATTAATTTACCAGTCCCTAGACAAGCCCCATTACAGAGAAAAGAGCCCCTCTCTTTTGAATAATGTAAAAAGTTCTATCTTGTGAGGAAGAGCTTGAAGATTTTACAGACAATTTGCAACCTTTTACTAAATAAAGTTGATAAAGGTACAATCAGGAATGTGTCTGTGGGGCCCTGAGGAGGTGTCTGTAAATGAAGATGTGTTTTATGGCTGAATTTCCCTAGCTGCCACACAACTCATTCTGTTTGGAAGTCTCACAGCTAAGTTCCTCAGAGCTGCTTTCTGAGAAAGCACAGGAGAGATCATCTTGTGCTGCCAATAAGAAAAAAAACCAACAAACCCCAAACCCTACAAACTAGTTTTTATTCACCTTAAACTGCACTATGTATTAGGAACTCACTGGTGCCACAGAGGAGTGAAACCTTTAAAATGGAAGAGGCACTTTATTTCTGTCTGTATGTGGCAGCCATAGAACAGGGTCTGGGATAAAACCTCTTACCAGTGGCTTATTCACCATGGAAGACTTCTCTGCCACTGGATGGAATAGGAGTGGCTAGACTGATTTCAAGCCTGGAATTCAGTACCCATGTTGGAAATAAAATAGAATAAATTTTTTTTTTAGATCTTTACTCTTGTGCTTTTTTCAACTGAGTAAACATTTGGACTTAAGCACCTGGAAATCCTTCCATATTCTCTAATCTTTAAAGATTTACTGAGTGCAATTACTTTTACTACTGATTAGCCCAGAATCACAATATTTTTTTTTAATATGTGTATTTTGCAACAAGGGGATAAGTATGTACTTTACTGGGGTGGGGAAGGAATTGGTTAATTCACCTGCCTGGTGTCCCACGGGATTTTCCAGTAGCACTTCCTTTTGCCTGCAAGGTTATTCCAGTTTGTGTCAGAAATTAAGATCTCAGTAAAATTGGAAAAGCTGACAAGTGGAATTGGTGCCAGAAACCCACCAATGGCCTTCTCTGCCCTGGCTCCTCACCTTCTGCCACCTCCATTTCACAAATAAGGAGACTGAAGCTAAGAAGAGTCAAGTGTTTTATGCTCAGCTCTCCATGCACAAAAGTATTACTGCCAGGTTGTGTTTCAGTGTTTGGAGATTACAGGCACTATAGAAATGTATCATCATCATCCCAGAGTCTGGTCTGAAAAGCTAAAAATAATTCTACATCAGCTGAAAAGGAAAGGGTGGAGCAAGAAGAGCTCCTTGATGTACTGATTTTTTTTGCATTAAAAACAAAGCAATGAAAGTCTTCCCTTATTTATAGTCTAAGGGGTCCCATGCTAAGAAATTTGTAAACAACTGGGAGAACCACATGGGAATAAGAATCTGAAAGATTTATTAAACTGCAAAAGGTCAGAGGAAGGGAGTTTGCTTGCTGCTAGTGCAGCTTCAACCCTTCGGTTTCCTATAGCAGAGGTTAAATGCATGACTGCTTGCTAGCTCCTAGCCCACATCCTCAGAGCTGCACCTTCTGGTTGACATGCCATAGGATACCCAGAGCTAACTCCTACAGAAGTGGTTCCAAAAGCTCTATGGTCTGTGTCAGAATTAGGCCCTCAGCCCAAGTCAGAAGTTGCCATTCTAAACACCTTCATGGCACGTGGACCCCAAATAAGCTCTGGAGGTAAAGAAGGAAAGACTTGTTCCAAACTAATCAGAAAACATCCACCCCTCTTCCAAAGCTCAATGCTTATCAGTCCATCTTCTGGTATTTACTTCTCAGAGACTAACCCTTGGCCACCATTCCATGTCTGTTCAACTCCTCACTCATTTTCTCTCCAAGGAATTGAACCTTGGTCCATGTCAATGTCAGGTTAGACACTATAGGCTGGAACCAAACATGCAACAAAAATGTGTGCATTTTCAGTCCTTAGAAAGGGACAAAGGGACCTCACACAGGAAGCAGTCCACTCACCACTCATTTATGGCTTCCCAAGCCCTTTCCAGATATCTGGCACCAGAATTCTTTCAGCCTGGAAGCCATAATCAATGTGTGGAAGCTGAGAGACTCAAATATAACTACATAAAGAATTTTACACTCCTTCATAGCAAAATAACTGGAATAGAATTCTTAATAAACTTTTAGGAATGGCTAAATGATTTCATGGCTTCTGGCTCAGACTTGACCTACAATATCAATCCAGAACCTGTTTCTTCACTCCAGCCATCAGTTCTAATCTAAGCCAACCAAAATAAAAAGACAAGGCACAGAGACTGGAAGACCTGAGCCACCTGTCAAAGTAGCTGTGGAGATGGTGGCTGGGCTGAGGGAATTTTGAGAAGCCAGAGGCACCCAGAGGCAGTGTGTGATGAAAACATTTATCCTGTGCCTGAAGCCTCAGCTTGTTTGGCTCAGCCTTCTGTAAGACCCAAGCTGCTGGTGGCAGCTTGTTTATATCTCTGCTGCAGCACATTAAAAAGCTTTGTTTGTTACCAATACAGGGAAATAACGAGAAATCCATCTGAGGCAAAGAGTTCTAATGGAGTTTTATTTATTGACCTCTATGAAACTAAAAATTATGTGGCTCTTTCTGCCTTCTCTGTCTTCTTGTTAATTTTTTTCCCTTCAGATAAGGACAGATAGTTCACTTGCACTTGAGATTCAGGATTAGCAAAGCCATCAGTTGGCTGCTTTTTCTTACAGCTTGGATAAAAGTCACTTAGAAACCAACCTTCCTTATCAACACATGCAAGTATTTGTGGGGCAGTGCATGGGGCTAACTATCTACTGACCAAAAGATGCCATTTCCATTTAGTCACCTGCTAGATCATGGAGGAAAAACTGCCTGCTTATGGAGTTTGGTCCACTCAGCTTTCAGTTCACATATCATTCCTAAGGAATGTAAACAACTTCAGAATAAATGCTCTGAGAAAGTTTTAGCAAACCATGCAGAAACAAAGAAGACTGGTTCAGAAGCTCTTGAGATAACAGCAAGTGCCCCTTGAACCAAGATTTTATACTGCAGGCAAAAAATATCCCACTTATGTGTTCTCCAACTAGATGCAATTTCAACATTCAAAATTTCTTAACGTCTCTGTCTACCTGTAGCCAAGGCCACACTAGATATTTACTCTTTTTTTCTCCCCACTTTTAATTAGTAATATCAAGGAACTTTCTGTCCACAGGTGGCAGCCCAGGAAGGAAATGTGCTGATGAAAGAGCATCGCTATGAGAAGGCTCTGGGCTACTACACCCTGGCTGTCCTGACAAGCAGAGACAACCCGCGGTACCTCCGGCGGAGAGCTGCCTGCCTCACACACCTGAAAAAATACCACAGAGCTTTAAAAGATATGGAGAAAGTGATCCAGAGGCATGGTCACAACAGCCTTAAAACACGTGTGGAAGACCACTGCTCCCAAGGCCACCTGCTGCTATTGGTTGCTGAGGAAGAAGCAGCCGTTCAGCAGTATATTGAGGCACTGCAGTTGGAGGAGTCTGTGGCATTGCACAGCATCATGAATGGCCCTGGCAGGGAAATTTTAACCAAAACATTTCATAAGATTGCACAGTATAATTTTGAAATGCAGCATTATGAAGAGGCCTGGAAAATCACAGACTATGGTCTTAAAATTGATAAAAATACTGAACTTAAAAAGCTGAAAACGAGACTGAAGCGAGAGGCATCGAGCTGTAGCATACATTAGTGTGTCTGTCTCGGGCTTTTCCAGGGTCTGATTGCTTTCTGGTTTGTTTGTGAGGCTGCAAGAATAAGAGAGAGATGAGAAGCTCATGTTAAACATGCAATGGACACAGCACTGAACATGGTACAGCAAGATTAGGAGCAGAAAGTTTCAGGTAGTGAAACAAAACTGATCAAGAGAGCAATGAGAAGAAGGCAACTAGCTGCATTCAGGATTCTTGAAAATGACTGTGGCTCCATGTCAGCTCCTTCTTGGGAAGACAGTGTTCTGTTTGGCTAAGCTGAACTAATTCTAACACAGCAATTCCAATCATAGTGAAGGAGTACACCCAAATAGCTTGCAGGTTATGAATCATAATCATCATATATTTCCTTGCTATTTCTTTTATTAGCTGACACATACTCAGCAATTCCAATCATAGTGAAGGAGTACACCTTCAGGTTATGAATCATAATAATCATATATTTCCTTGCTATTTATTTTATTAGCTGACACATACTGGTCAACTAAGTAGCCTTATTTTTATGGACCAGTTGAAAATATCATTTTTATGTGGTTTCTATTTGTGAAGGACCATGTGTGACACCACAACCCTCTCCTGAATGGAAGCAACTTGTCACAGACTAGTGGATTTGCAGTGATCAGCTCCAATACAGGGGAGCAGGAACAATACAAATGCCAAGCAAACTGTTGTGCTGTCCCAGGGAACATCGATAAGGTGAAGGATGAGACTCAACAGAGATGAAACATCCAACCTAGTGACTAATGCCCTGTTATCTAGGACACACAGGCAGCTATAACCCAGACTTCACCTTGAATTTCCAGCTCCCTGTCTCAGTTTGCCAGTGCAGATAACAGAGATCATCTCTCAGCGGGGGTGTCTACCAGAGCCTGCTAAATATCATGTCTCACACGTATTTGATATTTGGATATTTGTGCATAAAAGTCAGCACTGGAGCATGAACTAATCAAGAGGGGATCAAAGCACAAGTAGGAAGGAGGTCAGGGCTAGAGGCAGCAGCCAGGGTGGTGATGTGATTGCTCTGCACTGATCCAGCACTTATCCCTCATCATCCACACTAGACAGCAAGGGAATCAACACCCCACAGGCTCTGAGGGGTGTCACTTGCTGTCACAGATACAGCTTCACCACCTGTAAGGACGGACAGACTTTGGGGGCAGTACAGATAGTGCTAATTTATCCCATTTCTGTCCAGTTTGGCATTTCATCTGTGCAGTGGGAGTCTGCATCTTATTTTGGAGGCAGTGCCCTGGTGCTATGCAAAAGGAAGCAATGAGGTGGGGCCCAAAACAACAGACTCGTGTATTTGTTTTGACCTGCTCCAGTGAATATGTCCCAATTTTACTGGACTGTGATCACCAACCATGGAGAAAAGTAGGAACTACTATTGGGAACAAAGTCTAAAGCAATATAGAGAACTGATCTCCTGCTTTGATTAGGATGAAAGGGAAATGGAACATTGTCTTTTTTGTTACATTGCTCACTGAAAGGCAACATTCCAGAGTGCAACTTCATTCAGCAGCCATGCAATCAACACAATAGCAACGATACCATCTGTACCCTTCCATCCTTTTTTACCTTCTCTGCATGCTCCTTTTTTTCTTCTCTTAAGAACACAGGTAAGAGTGGGCTTCTTTCCTTTCAAATTCAAGAAAAGCTACTCTGATTTTAATCCCAGTGACACTTTTTGCTCCTAATTGGCATCAAGATGCTACAGGATAATTTCTTTCCAAGCATGAAATTATATCCTCAAACAACTGTCAAATACATTTGCAAGCTGAAAGAAATGTTTGTTGATTTTTCTTCAAATAGTAACCAACAGATAGGAATTTCTCTGTATCTCATGCTGAAATTTTTGAGAAGCAGTTGAAATTTTTTATTTCTTTGTGCTTGATTTTTTGGGGGGGTTTTTCACTGGAATAATAAATCTCTTTACACCTTTGCATTGCTACTCTGTAAGCATTACCTTTTTTAGCTGCAGGTTTGGTTCAGTGTCAGTCAGCCCATAGTCTGTCTGTAGCATTTGACCCTCCAGTGGCTCTTAGAATAGAGTAGTTTTGGTTGGAAGGGATTGTCACCAGGTAGTGAACAACAAAAGAAAACTTTCAAGTCAGCACTGAGAATGTCTCCACAGAACAGACTGCCTGCCAGTTTTGGCTCTGTTCAGTATTCAACAAGAATATAAAAGGAAAATCAGATGTGAGAATATTTGCATCACAGTTACAACAGTACAGTTTCCTGACCACCTGGTCTGCAGTCCAGCAGGCAAAAAACAGCTTAGAAATGATGACAAAATTGTTTGGAATTAAATACTCAGCTGGTAGCTTTTCCTCAGAGTTCAGACAACTAGATTTTGAGCTTTCGTGACGGGAAAAGGTTTTCTTTCCTTTAAAATTCTATCACTCCGATTTATTTTTCCTATTTCAGTTAATTATGTGTTCTCAGATACTCAAGAGAATCTGAACACGTCAGCCAACTGTAGCTGCTGATCAAATGCATTTTTGAAGCTGACATATTGCCTGGGAAGTCATCTTTCTGACTTTCAGTCCAATTCATCGTGCTTCCCAGATTTAGATCCTGGTGGAAATTTGGCTCTGGCTTACAGCCCTGCACACCCAGCTCCTCTAATGAGTTTCTGTGTGCAGAAGTGAGGACATTCCACTTGGCTTGCAAGGGCAGATGGTTCACCTTAATGACAGCTAATCTAAAAGCCATTTCTTTTACTATCTTTTCCCTGTGGAAGATGAACTGTGTTATCATGACACTGCTCCTGCATCCAGCAGTTTCCAATTTGCCAGGGCTCTGAGGAGTCGCTGTCACCATTAATTTAATGTGCTACATGAAATTATCTCTGGTATCACAGTCTGCCTTTGGAGCCTTGGCTATTCCAATCATATTTCAGCTACACTGGTCTATGCTGGGATGTTGGTTCAGTCAGCCATGACTCAACACCTTAAGGAAAGGGATTCATTACTTAGAAGGCACAGCACTTCAACACTGTGGGATTTGGAAGGCTCCTTTCCCTCCTCCTCCTGCTGTGGGTTCCAGAAATTACATATATATTAATCTGTTCTGTAGGATATTAAAGAATACCGCAGACCTGCACCCATCTCACAGATGTGTACAACTCTGACACCCCAAGCATGGGCCCAGTGGTTTATCTGGTCCCAGAAGTAACAAACAGGATGGTATTGCTGTTTGTAGCACTCAGCAGCTAAGAACGTATGAGGACAGGTGGAGAACACATTGCTATCCCAAATGCCAAGGTTACAGAACATGAGCCAGTCCCAAAGGCATGTCAGCATTTCAACAGTCATCATCATGGTGTTATTTTCAGTTTCTCACCAATGGATTGGCAATAGATGCAAGGGAAAAACAAGACTTCTCTGGTCAGCTGCTATTGCCCCATCTTGGCCTCCCCCTTTGTCACAGTCCGGTGCCACTGGCCCTCTGGGTTCCACACCTCTGTACACATCCATAACCTATACATCTACTACCCATACAACTTGAATTTTAAATTAATTTCATTTCTGAAGCTTATTTTGGGCATATAATGCATGGCCAAAACCTACTTGAAACATTGACAAGTTTATGTTCCTGAGAGCCACCAAATACTTGTTCTGCACGCAATGCTAGGCTGAGTTCATCTGGCAGATTAGCTGTGGCTTTAGGTGCTTTACCATCCAACCCCATCCTTTTTGTAGCTGTATGTTCCCAAAAAGTCAAGAGTTACAGAGAATAAACTAGCATCAGGATTTCCCTGCAGACTGCAAAGGAAATTAAGAACAGTATCTGATAATAAGTTGGCATGTCTCATTCCTGAACTGCATCCCAGTGAATGAGAAAATTAAACTCTAAAGCCAGAGGGAGAATGCAGGAGGGGGCAGGAAGCACAGGAGGATGTTAATCATTCCATTCCATCCCTGGTTTGCACTGTGTTATGCCCCTCAGTTGTACTTTCCTCTCCAGGTCAGTGCTGCATGTGCCTGATGCAACCCAGCAAATCTGCTCCATGGGTGTGAGGTGTGGGGATGTGGAGTCACCAGGAGCCACGGGTTTGGATCCAGATCAGTAGTGGATGAAATGAGAAACTGACAGTGATTCGTATTTTCCCACTTAAAATGACCTCTCCTGGAGCATCTTGATTGCCTAGAAACCTCAGATGTCACATTATAAGACATTCAAACACTGATGATATACTCAGAATGTTCTCCAAAAGCCACATTAAAATCCTACAATATTAGGAACACCTAGTGCTGGAAACAGTGTAGGGTTTGATCTTTAATACAGAGTTTTAACAATAGAAACATTTATACCATGCCTTTTTTTAATGCAACCTTGCCAACAGTATTTTTGCAATGCTGTTTCTTCTGCATCTTGTGTCCATTCTTGGGTAATAAAATCTACTTACCAGAGCAAACAGGTAATTAGCCATCTACATAGATTGCCCACATCATTAATGTGTTTGGATGTTTTAATTGATTGCATTCTCCACTGTTTTGGATGGCTTAAATGCCAGCTAATGCAATCCAATTAAGCCTCCTAATAAACCTGACTGATGAACTGCAATATAATCACACATCAAGTAGAGATGTAGAGGGAAATGCCACAGAACTGACAGTTTGGAATAGACTGTGTCATTTTGAAATACCCAAATCACTTCTCAAGAGGGAAACTTGTGATTGACAAAAACTGGGGGTGGATTTGGTATCCAAGACCTGATTCAACACACCTTTTAAGCCAGTTTCTATGCACAAAACATTTGTGGAGCTACCTGGAAAGAAAAAAAATAATTAAAAAATCAAGCAAAACAAGACAAGGCAGCTAGAAGTTAAATGACCTCATGCTGAAATATGATGCAAACTCCCAATAGTGCCCTGTAAGCAACCCAAAGATGGCATAGTGTCTTCATGTTGGCTCTGGAGGTCTTTTTCTAAGCCCAAACAGAGGCTATAGATTTAATGGGGTGATGTGTGTGAAA